CTACAATTAAATTGTCTTTGTGAAAGGCGGTATTCTCGAGGGGTGTTCCGATCTGAATCTAAAAATTATGAGAAACCGACGGGTCTGTATCGGCTCACTATGGTTGCATTTTCTTTTGCGTTAATATACTCAAATTGCTGCAGTTTTACCACCGCCATATGTCAGAAAATTGGGATGGATTAATTCAATTAATGAATAGTGAACACGCATGAATATGATATTATCATATTCAAAGTCAAATCTAAAAATTATGAGAGACCCGTCGGTCGGTAGTATTTTAAAAAAAGAATTTAATTTAATATTTTTTCTTGTATACGCATATTTTTTCATACATAATATACTATTTCAAGAAGCATCAATTCTCGTATGTCAAAATCGTGTCTAAAATACGATATTTTTGTCCAACCTAGCCTTGACGTGTAAGTAAATCATGTAGCGGATATTTCTTGTGTTTTTATTATAAAATTTTGCAATCTTTATTTATTATTTATCAAATTAATAATATATACACATGTTTGTCGATTGTTTGCGTTTTCGTGTCACCGGCCCCGACAGTTTATCAGTAACACTAACATAACATCACGCAGAGTCAATAACCATGTTGTTCCTCCAATTAAATTTTTTTATATTCGGCGTCGGTCTGGCGCTTGGGTGGATATAAATAAGTCAATATCGGGAGATCATAACATGTAGAGCTATTCAAATATGGCTTCAGCTTTCTTAAGCCGTAATAGTTCGTAAAGATCTGATGTTATCTGCAGAGTAGCATGATGACGTGCTTGCAATAAAAAAATGTAAAAACCACAAATATGTTCTAGTAGTTGAGACGATGATCTTAATCTTTAAATGCTACAAAAGCGTTCATAACTCTTAAATAAACAATTAGTACGAGTATTTTTATTATCTCCGCTACATTAAATGCTTAACTTTACAAATATTTTTTTGAACTATCTTCCGCTTGGAAGTAATTTTTTTTGAGGCACAGTTAGTCAATGACATATGATCTATCAGACAATTTACTCACCTCGTGCCTAGGAATATATTCACTCACAGGATGTGAATATATCTCCGGTTATCTACATTTTTCTGATGCATTATTCTGATGTTTCACGCCTGGTGCGTGCACCAGCGAAGAAGCCAGAGTACCATTCCGTGGGTGCCTGATCCACCACGGTTGAGCCGACCCATTCGTGCTGCAGCTATAAAAAGCTGCAGTGTAACTCTACCACGTACAAAATATAATGACGTAACACATTATTTGTATATATCTAACTTATTTCACATGGTTAGAATTTTCGAACAATATAGTCTCAAACAAGGAATAAGAATTATGGATTTTCTTACGCTAAAGCCGCGTATTGATATATTACCGTGAAGTGACGGTGTAAGAATATCCACACAAATATTTATAAATCTGCAAATGGGCGGCAGTTTCTTTCTAATAACGACCAAAAAAAGCTGCGGTTGCCAACCCAATTGCCAAGCATGGCAACTATGGCAAGTATCCCCCCTATAAGATAACCTTTAAGGAAAGCCCATGTTCAGCAGCAGACTTCAATAGCAATAAACTTGTTTATTTACAGTCACCGTTACAGCCATTTTTTGTTTATCATTTCTCTGGTTAACTGAATAGTGGCGGTGCAAGAATAACCACTACTTCATATTCTCGTGTCATGGGTTTCGTGAAAGGCGAAAGAGAGAGAGGGTTTTTTTATTTCTTTATTAGTGAGTTTAATCACAATGTGAATATGTCGCTCCGTTAATTCATAACCAAACACAATTACATTAGGTATACTTAAACTTATTACAAATATAAAGTTCTTAAATCCGTAAATAATTACCAAAAGTAGAAGAAGGTATGCATTAAGTTACAAAAAATAAAACGAAAATTTCCCAAATCAATCACATTGAGAAGTGAGTGATCGATCCGTGAACATCACCTTGTAAAGTTCGACTAATAATAACATTAGCTAAAATTATATTACAATCAGCGAAGTCTTTTAAAATGTGGTAGCACTTATCAATACGAAAGGCAGCGTTGTGGGCACAATCTATCAAGATATGCATTAGATCCTCTGGAACACCACATTGATCACAGTTCGGTGACTGGACCTTTTTTATGCATTCCTTATGAAAAAGGTCCAATAGTAATAATAGTCACCGAAATATTATCAATGCGGTGTTCCAGAGGACCTAATGATACAAACCTTATGATATAAACCTATTCTTCTGATAACAACTTTAAATTATGTAAAACTGCGGTGCCGATCTACCTGCTAGTCTAGTCCTCTGAAAACTCCTCTATCAGTCTAGTCGACTGGAAAATTCAAACCTATACAATTATATAATCTTATGCTTCATTGAATTTCAAGTCCAAATACAGTTCAGTTGGAATATTTTTATAGTGGAAGTTTCCATTCGCAAATGTCCGTCATGATTGATAAAATTCGTTGTTTTGTTAAAAAATAGTGTCCATAAACCATCAATATCAATACAGCCTATCGAAATTTACTGCTGAACATTGGTCTCCCCATTGACTGTCTCATGGATAGGAGATCCATTGAGTTGCCGCGATTTAAGAATATTCACTACCTCCTACCGTCCCGTGGGTGTCGTAAGAGACGACAGGGGAAAATTACCCAGAAGATGAGTGCTATTTAAAAGCGTGGAAGCTATGGAAAATATCTCCTTTATAAATATTATCTATCGGTAATTTACCGACAAAATCGTGATTTATAATAACTCATTTAACCTCGTATGCACAAGCTCAAGTGCACTCTCTATTCCCTTACTCTCATCATTCAATGGTACGGAAATCCGACCCAGTAGGAGAGAGAATAGATGCAGGACTAATGGCCTTACTTGCTTTCCAAGACACAGGGGTGAAGTACCGCTAACTTCATGTCTTCGGGATAGTACTGAGAATTCCGTCTAATAACGGATTTTTAATGAATCAGTATCTAAACCCTGGACCACGCGATCTAAAGCCGCGTTTTCGACCACATGACTAACAAAACAGTTTTAGTTAAGTAAATATTGTTATGCAATCGGTTTCTTATACGTCTGCAAAGTCTCAGGTCTCAGTTGTTCATGGGTTCAGAAATGGGTTAAAATTAAACTACGAAAACTAACCTTTAACAAAAAATAAAAGCCGACTTCAAAGAACTAAAAAGAATATTATAATATTTCCACATTCTAAAGTTGGACTAAAACATAGTGTTTAGACGTATTAAAGCCTTTAAAATTACATACGCGTATATCGTTTGTTCCAGCAATAAATTCACGAAAATAGTTTATAGGTCCTCAACAGATTTTCAAGTTTTACTAAGTATCGGAAAGTATCATTCAAACTGTCGGAACGTGATATTTTATTCCACGACGCGCATTGCAGAACTTCGGCTTTGGGCTTTAATTCTCCAGTGGAAGACGATTCAATTATGTATGTGTCGATAAATATATCGATTTTCTAGGATATATCATGGACAGGATTTTATTCAAGTTTCTCTCTCTCTCAGGATTTTATTTATAATGTAACAAATTCAAGATAACAACTACTTGTAGTCTGAATAGATACTTTAAAAATTTCACCTTAATTTATTCCAATCTTAGGGGTGATTTTTTTTATTTATATTTAAGGCTATTTAATAAAAAGGAATCTTTAAAATCGGTGTACAATTAACGAAGATATCGTGTAAGCGTGTAACACACAGAAAAGTATACAGCCAAGTTCAGATCCTCATCTTTTTTCTGTAGTCGGCTAAAAAGAGTTGCCTTTTTACGGTACCTGATCATCTTACAGGAAGGATTTATCATCTTTTATATTTAACAAACTTCATGAGCCATTAAAAAAACATCCGTCATAAAATAAGTGCAATAAATAACGGCAAACGTCGATGTGTTTGATTCGATTGTGTCGATGCGAACGTGGTCTATGACAAACGAGCTTGCAGTTTTCTGATGACAATTGGCTGGTAGCATATGTATTTTACGACATTTCGTGCTTGCAGTGTTGATTAAAAATTACTACCCACCGCGTAACAATAGTAAGATCTAAGTACATTTTGTTGTAATTCCATAGTATTTTGTTATTTACACAACACAATCACATACGGTGACAAGTGGTGATAAAGTTCTAGAAAGGAGCATTGCCTCGAGCGGCTGATTTTAGGGCGCAATTTTTTTCTCTTTATTCGGGAATGAAAACAATTGTACAATATAATCTTATCCCTAAAATTATTAAAACTACTTTTATCTAAAACTACTTATATGATCACAAACTGCAGACTTCCCGGAACGCAGTTTATGATCATATCCTAGACGGCTCCAACCATTACATCAGATTTGATAGACCACAAATCCTCGCGAAAGAACACCGATTCCTACCAAGGATGATACGTGAGGCTATTGAAATTAAAAAACATCCTAATTTCAATAGAGAAGGAGGCTGGGTACTACCACCTGCTTGGGATCTTATAATCAATAAAATTAAAACTAAACCCAAGCATACCACTGCAAGACCTCAGGACATAGTCAGTTCATTTTGCATAGATCGGACCATAAACAATAATTAAAAAAGCTGAAGGTACTCCGGGTTTAACAATGACATCAGGACGTCAGTCATCTCAGTCCCCCGTGACCATGGGTGCTGGAAAGCGCCCGAAACGTCGGGAATTAAAAATAAAAATTAAAAAAAAATAAACGCGATAAAATCCGTAAAAGTAGTTTTAATCATGTGCAATGTTCGCGTAAATATAAGAAATCATTACCCTAAAATTATTTTAAAAAATCTGCAAATAATCAGTACATAAAGGTTTTTATAGAACAATGATTGACTATTGAGCACACAGACTACCTACTGATGGTCAGTGGGTTCTACGGCCCATAAACACCTATATCTATCCTCTAAGTATCTACTTTCTAGATTCTATGCTGTCCTGTAAAGGCATATACCTAAGATTTAAACTCTTTGTTACTTATACTTATCATTAACGTATATACAGCCATGTGATTGATGAGCACTAACAACCAAAATAGTCAGTAATACGGAACAAGCTACTGATTTCATTTTATTAGTTTTATTTTATTTAAACAACTCCTAGCTAATTAATATCAAACAAAACTCGACGCTAAGACTTACATAGGTTGCTTGTATCTAAGGTCTAAAGTAAAACCATGTTTGTTTTGATACGCACACAACGTGATGAGCAGGTTCGCACTGATTATGTAGTGATAAAGGTCAATGATCTTAGTTTTAAATTATATAAATCAAGACTAGGTCTTCAGATAAATATAATTAGGATTATCATTATATATTTGTTTAAATTAGTCGTAATATATTGAGCATATTATAAAAATCACATTGACCACAATCTTGTTTCACTTTAAGATAACCCATTACCTTATCTCTCCCCGTAGGTATCGTAAAGTCAACTGTTAGAAATGATAGGAATAATGCACGGCCTGCAATAGATGATGATACAGTTATCCCTCATATATATCTATTGTAATATATGAAAGGTGTCAATGAAGAGAGACGTGTTGTTGGTACTATAACTTTAATTATACTGCCTCATTATTCTACCTTAACACTAAAGTATATTAACGTGGGAGCACTACACTACACCTCCCACCACAAAAGAATAAAAAAATATGCTATCTATATTTTTTTATCAATTCTTAAAATAGATCCTTAAGATTATTCTAAAAAAGGTTAATATCATTATGAAAACTATAATCTAAGACATATCTAGCACGCAAAACGTCTGCCTGGCTTTTACATTTCAATATTTTAGTTTATTCTTTTTTTTTCATATACAACATGTAAGTATGTCATTTCTTTCACGTACACGGCTCGCGTACATACATGATCAAGAAAATTACCAATATCATTTAATTCACTTCTTTACATTTCAGCTCATGTAATTCATTATTTAATTGTACCAACTTTCATATACACGGCTCGCGTACATACATAATCAAGATAGTGGACAATATTCCTATACAATTCATAATAAATTATCATTTCCCTCATTAAAATACATTAAAACTTATTCCGCATTTAATCGTGTCCGAAGAACCTTAAAAAATTAATCGGCTATTAGGTTTTCCAAACTCTCAGCTGATCAGGCTGATTGCATGTGGATATACTAACCTCAGACAATTTTATTTATCTTACTCTCGCAACTATACATTATCAATATTTTCATTTATAATTATGTATTCCGTAACTTAACCATAAATTTAGTCACACATTTTACTTTATATCATAAAATAGTCTCATATAATATTTGGTTACAGTGTTAGTCAGGGATTGCGGCTCACAATATGGGAACAACAAAATTTAAATCAATTATTTTAGTTGTGTTAAATATTATATAGTGAATTTCAAAATCGTATTATGCGAAGAAAATAACTTCATAATCTACTCAAATTAGTACTGTTTTCCAAGAAAATAATAAATTATAACATTAATTTATGCTTTATTTAGCTTATGATTTAAATATTCGAACAATATAAAACCGAAATAAATATAATATCTCTCTTACATAGGTCAAACAGAAAGATCTATAAAAACCCACGTGAAAAAACATATATCTGACGTGAAAACCGACGCTCCGGGAAGTCTGCAGTCTGTGAACATGTTCAAGATCGTTCCCACCATTACATCAGATTTGATAAACCACAAATCCTCGCAAAACAACACCGATTCCTACCAGGGATGATATGCGAGGCTATTGAAATTATAAAAACATCCTAATTTCAATAGAGAAGATGGATGAGTGCTGCCATCTGCTTGGGATCCTATAATTAACAAAATTAAACCCAAATTCAAGCATACCACTGCAAGACTTCAAGATGTAAGCTCATTATGATAAAAATTAATACCCAAAAAAGTTAAACGGGCTAACTATGACATTGGGACGTCAAACATCTCAGCGCCCCTCGTGACCATGGGTACTGTAAAGCGCCCGAAACGTAAGGAATTAAAAAATAGGGTAAAATAGTTAATTAAACGCGATACCATCCGTAAATATGGTTTTATTCAATAGTTATTTTTTTTTTCAAAATTATAGTATATATTCAATAATAGTTATATTATTCAAAATTTTTAGTTACGTTTTAAATTTGCTTCAATTTTAATTTTTAACAATGTAATAAATCATTACATTTCACATTAACATAAACAGAACAAAGAAATAAAAATGGGAATATAAGTCGTCATTACCATCATAACAACATACAGATCAAAATACATATTGTTACGAGCTTGAGGTTCGTGACAATAAAAGTTGCCGATAAAATTACCTAAATTAACACTTTAATTTACTTTACACAAATTAAAGTTAAAACACTAATAATTTAAACACACTAATTCACTTAATTCCACTCCGAAGCTTCGCTTGTTTCGCCCAAATCAACACTGCCTCGATCGCATCTTGCAGCGCCTATATATTTGAATTAGCAAAGAAATATCCAGAATGTTCAAGTAAACACGCGGAAGGTACCGAGCGTTCGAGTTTCGACTAGGCGCTGTCAGTTGAGCGATTTGTGATGTCATTTTCTCAATGCTCCCCTCGCTCTCGTTCCTGACACTAGATGGCGCTAGTTGACTTATTCATGCAACACTGCCCCCTCCTAAGACATGCTCGTCCCGAGCATTATCGCTCCCATAGTAACGCGCCAAGCGATCCACATGGACGATCTTAGGAGTCCCTCTTGCGCCTTTCTGTATCCGGTAGGTCACATCGTTGACCCTGGTTACAATCCGGTACGGGCCGTCCCATTTAGCTTGAAGCTTAGGAGATTTCCCTTTGCTGCGGACTGAATTGTGCAACCACACAAGTGAACCTTCGTCGAACCCTTTGTTGTTCATTTTGCGGTCATACCGGGTTTTCATCTTTTCAGACATTTGCTGGCCCGATTGTCTGACGTGCTCATAATTGTCATTCATTTTTTTCCGCAAGTCATTTGCATAATCGGTTATACTGCGTGGAGCATCGGGTGGTATCCCGGTGATCAGGTCTGCAGGCAGCCGTAATTCTCTTCCAAAGTTTGCGAAAGCTGGTGTCACTGCTGTACTTTCGTGAACAGAACTTCGATATGACAACAAAAACGGTTGTATGTGCTTGTCCCAATCTCGTTGCCGATTGTCTACAACTTTTGCTAGGTACCTCTCCAATGTCTGATTAAATCGTTCCACCATTCCATCAGATTGCGGGTGATAAGAAGTCGTTCTTGTTTTATGAGTACCCATAACTCGGCAAGTTTCCTGGAATATTTGAGACTCAAAATTCCTTCCTTGATCGCTGTGAATCTCTAAAGGTACTCCAAAACGACAGAAGACTTCATGAACTAGTTTATCTGCAACTGTTGAAGCTTCTTGATTTGGAATGGCGAAGACTTCTGGCCACTTAGTGAAGTAATCCATCACAACCATGAAATACTTGTTACCGCTTTCACTCTCCGGAAACTGCCCCGCCACGTCAATGGCTATTCTCTCCCATGGTGCACCAACATTGTACAACTTCAATGCACCTCTACTACGAGTCTGAGGTCCCTTTACAGCCGCACAACTTGTACATTTGCGACACCAGTCCTCGACATCGTTTCGACAGTGGACCCAGTAAAACCGTTCTCGGATCTTCAGTAGAGTTCGTTTAACTCCCAGATGGCCTCCTGAACAATCATTATGGTACAGCTGTAGAACATCCGGTACTTTAACTTTAGGGACAACCATTTGCAAATGACAGCTGTCTCCCCGAACGTTTTCCCATTTACGACACAGAACTCCATCCTGAAGCAGCAAGCTGTCCCACTGGGCCCAATAGCTTTTAGTGGTCGAACTCATCGCTGAGACGTCACTCCACTTGGGCTTGGGAGCACTGGCCTTTATCCATTCCAGAATCGGCTTGATGTCCGGATCTTCCTGCTGTGTATGTAGTAAGCTGTCCTTCCACTCGTTGCTGAGGTGGTCTGCCCTGAGCGTCCTCACGGATACCACTTCCTTACTCTCTTGCCTAGTATAATGTTTGCAATCTTCAGGATAAGTTCTTCTTGACAATGCATCTGCGTTGCCATGATATTTCCCGCTGCGATGTTCGATCTCAAAGTCGTATTCTTGCAGTAGTTCAATCCACCTCGCAACTTGTCCTTCTGGGTTTTTAAACTGCAATAGCCATTTTAGTGCAGCATGGTCAGTTCGTAAGTGAAATTTTCGTCCCAGAAGATATTTGCTAAAATGTTGCAACGACTTTACCACAGCTAGCAATTCGCGTCTTGTGACACAGTAGTTCCTTTCCGGTTTTGACAACGACTTGCTGAAGTACGCTATCACGACCTCTTGGTCACCATTCCGTTGAGACAACACACCGCCGAGTCCTATATCACTTGCGTCTGTGTCAACTATAAATTCTTTGCTTGCATCAGGGTATCCCAAAATAGGTGTTTTGCACAGACGGTCCTTGAGCTCCTGGAATGCGATATTGCAACTTTCATCCCAGCAGAAATGTCGCTTCTCCTCGGTTAGCTTGTGCAGAGGTTTGGCTATATCTGCAAAGTTCTTCACGAATCGCCGGTAATAAGAGCACAAACCCAAAAATGCTCTAACCTGCGTCTTGTCTTATGGAACCGGCCAATCCTTGACAGCGGCGATTTTCTCTGGATCTGTGCGGATACCTTCTTCCGATACTACAAACCCCAAAAAGTTAACTTGCCGTTGAAATAGTGAACATTTCTTCGGGCTCAACTTGAGGTTGGCACTCTGAATCTTCATGAGCACGCGTTCCAGGTTTTGAAGGTGTTCCTCAAACGTACGGCCCACGATGATGATATCATCCAAGTAGACCAGACAGGCATCGCCAATTAGCCCGGTAAGTACAAGTTCCATCAGCCTTTCAAACGTTGCTGGAGCATTGCACAACCCAAACGGCATTACTTTGAATTGCCACAGACCCTTTCCCGTCGAGAACGCAGTTTTCTCCTTGTCCTTAGGGTCAATTTCAACTTGCCAGTAGCCACTTTTTTAGATCCAACGTACTAAACCATTTTACTCCTGTAAGCATGTCCAGCGTGTCATCAATTCTTGGCAAGGGATAGCTGTCCTTCTTTGTAACGTCGTTCAGACGGCGGTAATCAACACAGAACCGCATGCTGCCATCCTTCTTTTTCACCAGCACCACTGGTGAACACCATGGACTAGAGGAAGGTTCAATAACACCATCCTTCACCATTCCTTCAATCATGGTTTCCACTTCCTTTTCACGTGCTACCGGCAATCTTCTTGGCCGCTGACGGATAGGCAATTCCTCTCCTGTGTTTATTTTGTGTTCAACTAGGCCAGTCTTTCCTATGTCCGCATCATTTGATGAGAATACATCGGCGTACTTGAGTAACAACTTCTTCGCCTTGACCAATTCGTTCGGGGACAGAACACTGCGACATTCTTCCAAAAGTGTGGTCACTCTCGTTTCTGAATCCTTGCTGGGGGTCCCACTCGATATATATTGGCACTGACGTAACCAATCCACTTCCTCACAAGTACCAACCAGTGTGCCTTTTTCTATAATCTGTTCCCGGTCGCAAAGGTTCAGCACACGTACTCCTGAGATGTCAGTGGTCCTGACCAAGGTTCGAGCTACTTTCCATGGAAGGTCATTGTTTACCCTTTCCACAAGTACACAACGGTGAGCTTGCCCAGCGTTTCGAGGTAGACTAACCGGAACAATCGTTTCCGATCTCGGCGGAAGAACAATCTTCTTGATGCTGTACACGTTCCCTGGTAACGCACCTTCCATAAAAAGTTCCTCCTGTCCACATTTCAAAACACCTTGCTTAACGTCGATCTCACAACAATTATTCCTCATAAAGTCTAGGCCTAAGATGCAGTCGTCCATTATATCAGCCACGATGACATTATGCAGGTAGATCACGTTGCCTAGCTTCAACTCCATCTCCTTCTCTCCACGGACGGGTATACGCTGACCGGTGGCTGTTACCAAATTAAGGCGTTCTCGGTTGTATGCGGAGTCCCCAAGGAACTGACTTATAAGTTGGGAACTAACAACCGTACGAGAGGCTCCAGTGTCTATGGTCAGCTTACACGGCATTCCGTTGATCTCGCCCTTTATGATTAGGCTGTTCCCATCATGGGTTTGTGAGATCGAGATCCTTGGGGCTCTTTTAACATCAGCCAGCACCCGCCCCGCAGTTCTGGCTTTTACTCGTTTCCCTGCTGCTGCTGGGCGGTGCTGTTGGCCGCACTACCCTCCTGAGATCGTTCAATTTCCCTTTCTAGGGTTCGCTTAGGGCAGCTGGATCGAAGATGGCCCTTTTCCCCACAGCCATAGCACCTTGGGCTGTATCCTTTGTTGCGGTCGCGAAATGTAGCTGCTGCAACCTCCCTGACGCGATGGGAACGATGATCCTGCCGCACGGCTTCCACTTCCAGTGCATGGGCCAAGGCGTCCTTAAGCGTCTCGTGGTGCCCGAGCCTCACAGAAGCTCTGACTTCCAGGTCGCGGATGCCGTCGATGAATGTCTGCACCAGGTTCCCTTCAATGAGCGCAGGTACAGACCGGTATGCTTTTCGCACCAGCTTCTCCACTTCTAGAGCCCACTGCTGCAGGTTTTCGTTGATTCGCTGCACACGATCTTTAAGCTGCGCACGAAAGACGTGTTCCAGGTGAGCGTCGCCATATCTATCCTCCAATGCCTCAAGGAGTTGCTCATAAGTCACTTCCTCACCGAGAGCTTCCAGAACTGTTAAGGCCTGGTCGCGCAGGCCTAGTGTGAGAGCAGTCATGGCCTGACTTTTATTCCAGCCGTTCGCCTTCATAACAGCCTCGAACTGGATTTTGTAGGCAGACCAGGAAGAAGTCCCGTCGAATGAAGGCACCTTGAACCCACGTAGCGAAGGTGTAATAGCTACTACGGGAGCTGTAGTTCCATCCCCCAGTTTGAGGTCGTCCAGCGTTTTCTTCACGTCAGCCATCACGTAATCAACCCGATTGTTTACTTGGTCGATTTGGGTTTTAGCTTCCTTGATTTGGGTTTCAGCTTCCGACAGGCGGTTGTCATGTTGAGCAACCCTATCCTTCACCTCCCTAATCTCTTTCCCGAAGTTAGCGTGAATGTCCTTCACGAGGAGCATCTGCTCTTCCTGTCGGCGGGCCTGTTCCTCCTGCTGCTCTTTCAACCAACGGGCCTGTTCCTCCTGTCGGCGAGCCTGTTCCTCCAGCATCACCATCAGAGCACCTAAATCGGGTGCTGCAGATGGAGGAGCTACTGACGGGCCTGCAGCCGGCGGCTGGCCCTGCGACGTCAGCGGCGTTGCACCACCAAATCTTCTTTGGTCCGTCTCCTGCTGGCGTTGATTTCGGGTACGGACACCCTCCGTTTCCTCCTTAGGTAAAATCGGCATGATTTTATCCCACTTCTGACACCAATTGTTACGAGCTTGAGGTTCGTGACAATAAAAGTTGCCGATAAAATTACCTAAATTAACACTTTAATTTACTTTACACAAATTAAAGTTAAAACACTAATAATTTAAACACACTAATTCACTTAATTCCACTCCGAAGCTTCGCTTGTTTCGCCCAAATCAACACTGCCTCGATCGCATCTTGCAGCGCCTATATATTTGAATTAGCAAAGAAATATCCAGAATGTTCAAGTAAACACGCGGAAGGTACCGAGCGTTCGAGTTTCGACTAGGCGCTGTCAGTTGAGCGATTTGTGATGTCATTTTCTCAATGCTCCCCTCGCTCTCGTTCCTGACACTAGATGGCGCTAGTTGACTTATTCATGCAACAATATTATTTTAGCAATAAATTTGAGACACATTTGTTTTAAATTCCAGAGTACATATATGGAAATGTTTGAGATTAAATCGATCTATGACCAAAAGTTGTGATTCACACCTAATTTTAAGATAACTTGTACGATAACTCGACTGAGATGTTTGACGTCCCAATGTCATAGTTAGTCCGGCTACCTTCAGTTTTTGAATATTAATTTTTGGTCGGATTTACGCAAAACGAGCTTATAGTATCATGAAGTCTTGCAGTGGTATGCTCAGGTTTGGGTTTAATTTTGTTAATTATAGGATCCCAAGCAGGTGGCAGCACCCATCCATCTTCTCTATTGAAATTTGGATGTTTTTTAATTTCAATAGCCTAGCGTATCATCCTTGGTAGGAATCGGTGTTCTTTTGCGAGAATTTGTGGTTTATCAAAACGAATGTAATGGTGGGGACGATCTTGAACATGTTCGCAGACTGCAGACTTCCCGGAGCGTCGGTGCTTCACGTCACGAAAGAACATATAGCTGACGTGAAGCACCGACGCTCCGGGAAGTCTGCAGTCTGCGAACATGTTCAAGATCGTCCCCACCATTACATTCGTTTTGATAAACCACAAATTCTCGCAAAAGAACACCGATTCCTACCAAGGATGATACGCGAGGCTATTGAAATTAAAAAAACATCCAAATTTCAATAGAGAAGATGGATGGGTGCTGCCACCTGCTTGGGATCCTATAATTAACAAAATTAAACCCAAACCTAAGCATACGACTGCAAGACTTCATGATACTATAAGCTCGTTTTGCGTAAATCGGACCAAAAATTAATATTCAAAAACTGAAGGTAGCCGGACTAACTATGACATTGGGACGTCAAACATCTCAGTCCCCCCCGTGACCACGGTTGCTGTAAAGCACCCGAAACGTCGGGAATTAAAAATAAGTAAAAGTAGTGAAATAAACGCGATAAAATCCGTAAATTTAGTTTTATTCAAAGAAGCATAGAGCTGTATTTTTTTCTAGTGTTATGGATATACTAATAAAACCAGAAAAAAAAACCAGATCAAAATGCTAGCATTAAGTACAATATATGTAATATGGATGTTCATCGTAGCGTTGACAAGAGGATCACTTCTAACAGCGTAAGAAGTTCCAGTTTCCTGATTTATGCTTCATGGTGAACACAGTCGAAGGCTTTTGATAGAAGATGTATTTAATCAGTTCAAAACTATCATCAATTGTAAATTTTATAAAGTAAATTATTAATATTAAAATAAAAATAACATTTTTTTTATTTTTAGTAAAATTGTTGTATTTTCAGTACCGAAATAGATCTAAAAATAAACACGGTAAATAACTATTTAGTTTTTATGGTAATTGTAGAACATCGAGAACATGGAAGTGTGGTAAACATTTGAATTGCATGACAAGTCAAGTAGGTAGGTTTAAACGAATTAAAATTTTTAGTTCAAGATGAAGAAGATAGACTTAAATTTAATGCTACGTTCTCCCTTCTCTATTCATGTTTCTAAAAAATGAATTCTTGATAAATATGAAAAGAGGCCTTTAGAAATACTGCATTTTATGAAATGTATGTAATGCAAAAAGTCACGTTCATTTATACAAATTATTCCTTATTGGGGCACTCTTCAAGCGGGACACATTTATTGGTCACGGTGTTCCTAACAGTCGGAGGAGCGCAGTAGCAAGCAGAAAAGTCACATATCATTCCTCGCGTGTCTGGTTGAGGATTTGGTTCATCGCATGTCGCCTCATTTGTTAAATATCCACATCCAGTAGTATAAGCTTGAGTACCCTCCTCACATTCTCTTGAAACTGTAATTCAAGTAAAATTGAATTAACTCCTTATTAACATACTGCTTTCGGCAACAGATCACTCTCTTCAATTTCAAAAGGGTCATCTATTACTCTCAATCCGATTTAAGCGGAGTTGGTTTATCTGTTAGTTATTTAAATAGATAATAATGACGCTTAAAACCAAGGTAGAGATCACGTAAGCCTCATCCTAGCCGTTAGGAGAGTGAGATCGTGTCGAGCCAATCCATTGCTGTGAGCACTAAAAACGAAGTGTTTTTTGATTTTCGCATAAAGGCACCTTCAATAGAAAGTCAACTTCATATATAAATAAGCAAGCTATGGAGCGCACTTATCGCTCAATGTCCAATATGACAAGCGTAA